ATCTTCAAAATAAGGGTGCGTCTTGTATTCCAAAAAAATCATGGTAATCATTGGTAGTGATACAAATCTACGTTGAAGAGAATGGCAGGCTTTAAAGATTTTTGTAGAACTAATTAATACATTTTTCATTTTAAAGCATTTAGATTTTGCTGTAAAAAATAAGGCTGTTTTCCTGATATTCCTGTAAAATATCAGGTGCATATTGGTCCAAAACAGATCTACCATAGTGGTAGTTCAGAGGAATGTGGAAACTACCTTACTTATTGTGTGCTGTTGCAGTTTATTGTGAAGTGCACTATTTCAAATATGGGATTACTTTTATCACTTTTAAGTTGTGTATAGTAGGGCTTGATTTTTTTTTTCCATATTACATTTATCTGTAAGCTCTACAGTCAATCACACAGTATTGTTTAATTGGAGATGTTACAGCCATTGTAGTAAATTTGTTAAATAACTTTTAACCCTACCAAGATGGGTCTGACAGGTCTCCCTATTGTCACGGGTCAAAGGTCATGACATCATGTTTGTAGACTTACGTTCAAAATTTTATTGAACTATTTTATGAATGTATATCAATACGTTTGATATAAAATTGTAGGTTATAATTCAAATTTTACTATTATACATTAGTTAATTTCTTAATTTAAAAGTAAATATTACAAAAATTCCTAAATATTGATTTTTTTGCTCATGTGGTATGTTGAATGCAGCATTGGTTCAGATTAGATGTATATGATGTCCAAATACAAAAATATATAATATATTACAGATTATGAACTCAAATTACTAATATTGATAAGTTAAAATATAAAATAAAAACTTTCTATGTTTTCTATTTGCTGAGATATTGTTAGATTGATTGAACCAAACATTGGCCTTACCCATGTCTTTCCATTTTTGGAAATGCTTGCTTACATACACCTATTTCTTTCTATGACATTTGAATAACCAATTGAATGCTCAGAATGTCACCCACATGGTTCTATGATCCTTTGCAATGTATTTACATGGGAAATCCTTTTTTTTTTTCATGGCATATTCCAAGTGGTAAGGTAAGACATTATTGAGCTCAAAAAATCATATTTTTAGACCTAGATACGGCTTATCTACTAAGCCTAATAAATTAGTGAAATTTTGTGGTATTTATGTAGTAATTTATAATTTTGTGGCATTTAAAATGCATATATAAAAACCTAAAAAAAATTGTTCTACATTTTCCACGTGTGAATTTTGATAAGGCTTAGCAAATTATGGTAAGCTGCAAACAAGTACAAAGTTCGTAACTAGAAGAGATAATTGATTTCTATACTTCTTTATTTGAAAAAAAATAACTGAAATTTAAGAACTTGTTTGTAAATAGTAATAATGTATATGCATATATAATGTGTAATAACCAAAATGTGACTGTGTCATACAAAATACTGGTCCACTAGAACACAGCCAAGACAGGTCAGTCGTATATTATTGGATACAGTAACATGAGTGCACATGTGCCACACCATTCAGCTTCTGTAACATTAGTCGGACAGTGTTGAAAGGTCAATGAAATAAAAAATAATAAATTTTTATATATGTAAAATGTTATGAGGTTTACACCTTTGTGGTTTTGTTATAATTTGTAGTAATTCTAGAATGAAAAAAGCTTGATTTACATCTATTTACTCGTTTTTTAATGGTGGTTACAAGGTTGACCAAATGCACACAAAGATAGATACAATAGTGAAAATAACAGATAAAATATATAAAGTTTTTCTAAAAAAAACGTTTTATAATTATCTGGAGGACATTAGGAGGTTATGGAGATTTCATATGTGAAATTTGACAATTTTGTGATGCATAAAAGTATTTTTATATTTTAAAATCAAAGTTACTTTGCATGCTGGATAGTCAATATTTGAAAATATAAAATGCACGAGCAAATAATTAATAAAAAAATGTTAACTTAATCTTAAAAATCGTAATCTTTGTGCATGAATGCCTTGTAATGCTTACTGATAACCTGCAAAATTTCCTGAAGATGCGTATACGTTTTTAAAAGTTTCTGTATAACTGCTTTATGGTTACTTTCGGGAATACGGGCTGGGTGGAATCCACCCGCTCATATTAGAAGAGTTAAACAATTTAAGATTTCAATGAAATATTTAATTTTTATACATTACTGAAGCTTACATTAACAATTATATTACACTTATTGTAAAAAACAAAATTAGAACCTACTTATAAAAGTAGTAATAGGTATTTAAAAAAAAGCTGTGTAGATCTGTAGAAATAGGTCTTTCCAGATCTTGTGATTTTGGATATCAAGCCATCCATTGCCTTATGATACTGGTAGTGAACTGCATATCTGCAGGAATCCACATTGGTTTTCTTTTTGGATCAGCTTGGAATTTTTAAAAGGATTACCTGAAGCTGAACCCTGTATATTGGTGTATAGCACAACAGTGGAAAGCATTTTCAAGTTTCTTCACTGTCTATAATATATGTGCACTGCCATCCAATATCACAGACTTTAGGATAGAACAAAATAATGAGCTATGATATCATTCTTAAAAGGTTCAGTAAGAAAGTGGTTTGAGCTAACATGAATTATTACAATATATTAACCGAAAAATGGGTAAATTAAAGTGAAATGTTTGACAAATATAATTATATCTTGGTTTTGACACAAATTTAATTGACTTGTTTGCTTTAGAGTAGTGTTGAAAAGTTTTACTTTTCCCAGCTTACGTAGAAACTTTTGTAGGAAACCTTAAAATATTGGACAAAATATTTTGCACTTTTGTGTATTTATAGTCTATGATGTCTTAAATTTATTATTAAATAGTGAAACAATTTTTAACCTAAGATTTAATGTATTATACTTTTTACTGTATCTCATAGCTATAAAAAAAATACATTCTGGTTAATTACCAGGTTTTGACAGAGATGTAATATTTATCATATCAAGTATGATAGTAGTTCTCAAACTTGTTTTTTTTTTTAAGGACCACCTGAATTTTTATTTATCTCTGAGTCACACAATAAACTGTGCTATTACATCGTTTTCCATCCCCTGATGGGTCATTGGTAGGTTTTCCAGACACTTAAAATCTTGGGTTCAATTCCCCCATGGTATAAAAAGCACGTATAGCCCATTCTATAGCTTTGCACTAAAAGTCTAATAATAGCATCCTTTCCAAATTGTCACATTTCTGCAGACCATAGATCAATAACTCCTGTATTAAAGTTCACTGTTTTCATATGAAGAAGCCACTTTGTGACTAATAAAATTTGAAATGAGCTTGAATGCATAATGAAGAAACCTATTACAAGTTTAAAATAGTAACTATCATTAAACACTTTGTCAGTTTTTGCACTTGGTGATGGCAAAACCTTGTCATACTATACATTTGTTGTTGTGTTAAAGTAGTAGTAGTCTTCATTATCCATTCAAGTTGTCTTCAAACTTTATCATTTAAAGTTCTTTATAAAACAATGGATAATTATGTTGTGTTACATTAAAGATGTTTCTATGCATGTTTGTAATGAGTGAAAAATAGTAGATAATTCACTGATTTCTGATGTTTTGATTTGTTCAGATATACTGGTAAATGCACCAAATGTAGGTTCCGGCATATATTTTTATGAATAGATTATATCCTTTCTAGTTATAAATGGCATTATATAATATAGAGAAAGAGATGACTTCAGTTACTTGATGTCTTATTTGGGAAAATAAAGCTATCCAAACATTATTTCGCTTCTTTTATGCCATTGCATTAATTTTCAGTTGGAGGACGAGGAGACTATGGGGGGTCTTCTTATGCAAGTGGACAAACCATGAGAGATGATGCATATGGTGGACAAGGTAGACCCTCACTTTTATTTTTAACTCTAACTGCAGTATTTTTATGCAAGGTGAAGTAAGAAACGTCTATTTTTTTATGCAAACACAACTTGGGTGATTAACCTTTATTCTTTTGTCTAGACACAGCAAACCATTACCAATATCTTGTAGTATGAAGGTCAAAAGCTTTTAAAGCTAGATTTTCTCTAAACACATTAATTAAATGGTCTTGTTTATTAGTAACATGATTCATATTATTCATGCTTGTATAGTTAAATATATATATATATATTCATTAGCTGCTACCTAGAATCTGGCTTTTGCCAAAAATATAGAGATCATTTTATGAAACTGAAAAAAGTTAGTTTAGCATCCTTTGAATCTAGTTAGTTTTGATAATGGATTGTTTCCAAGAAGTATTTTTGTATAGATTAGGATTTTTCTTTTACTTAAAAGTGCAGTTTATGAGTCATTAACTATTTTTGTGCTTTCTGAATTGTCATAATTTTTTTATAAGCACAGTTTGTTACTTTTATTTATATGTAATACTATATTTTATACCTATCTAGCATTTGGAGGAGGATATGGTAGTCAGGGAATGGGGAGCTATGGTGGTGGTGGTTTTGGACAAGGTAAGATTTTAAACACTTCTTGTTTTTGGCAATATGTTTTGTGATTTTTCTAATTTTTGATAATTCTAGTGGCTAAGAATCAATAAAAAAGTGTTCTTTGGATTGGTATATAAGTGAGTGTTGTGAAATCTTTATCTTGCTCTGTTTGCACTGGTATGGGATCCACTTCATGATAACAAACCAGAATTTTCCAGTTATGATTGTTGTACTTTGTCTATCTTGTTTAAGTGTTTGATTGGTTTGGAAGACATCCCACACCATCATAAGGACACTTCAAAATGCCCAGATAATAGACTAGTGTTAAAACCCGTATGTTCATAACACCAAACAATGATGTTAAAACAACAACAACATAAAAGCAAAATTATCAAATTGTTTGTTGTAAACAGCTAAGTACTTTATATTTGCAAATTAGATAATGAAAATAAATTATAGATCCCACCAGTGTTTGGAGTGGTGGATTTGGAGCTGGATACAGTGGCAATTATGGAGGAGGGGCAATGAGGAGTGAAAGTAACTTTACACAACGAGGAACAGGACCTTATGGAGGTAAGATATTTATAAAGTTATAAATTAGCTTCTAGGGAATTGAAGATGAGTATTACATTGATTAGGCTAACAGTTATTAAGCAGAATTTTAAGTTACGAATTTAAGTTTTTGGTTCATCAGCAAATAGTTTAATAATAAAGTTTACACAACCAGATAGAATGATCCATTAAAGTCATTATTGCAGGGCTTCTTTCTTTCTTTTTTTTAATTTTTTTCTATCTTGTTCTTTGGAAGTAATAGACTACTTTGATAGTAGCTTTTTTTCCCATTTTGTATATTTTGATTGAAAATGAATGGTCAAAGGATAATAAGTTTGAATTTAAATAATAATTTGTTTGAATCTTGACTATAACACTAACATTTATTTTAACAATGCTTCTTTCTTAACATTTTTATACATAGTTTTTTGGGTTAAATTTTAATTTTATTTGGTTTTCAACCCAAAGCAGAATTTAAGATCTTGCAACCATGTACATTTGGTAACCTAGGCTGATATTTTGGATTTGCCATTGCTTGTAAATTAAAATATAATGTGCAAATTTATTACTTTTAAATGTTTAGTTTTGTCCCCAACTTAAGCAGTTGTCATATGATAATGACTGTTTTCGCAATAAACTGATAATTAAATCTATAGGTACAGGGTTTGTTTTCCACCAACCCCTCTATCTATTATCAGAATTTAGAATATAATTCTCACAAATTCTCAAAGTAGATAACTTTAGCTTATATTTCTTAATAGTATAAATCCATACTATATTGTTGGGCTTAGGATTCTTCTACAGTAGGTGTCTGTGTGTCTTGTTGGCAATAAATTCAACGATAAATGAACAGCATGCACTTCTTGTTTTCAAAATAATGTATATGTTTGGAACAGGTTAAACATATGTACAACAAATTCTTCACACTATAGAGATTATAGGAATATCATAAACACTATATATATGTAGTTCTCTCCTTCTTGTCAAAAGTCCACTTAGGCCTATTCAATTACTTTAGAATTTCATTTGACAAGCCGACCTATCTTCTAAGTTCTATATTACTATTGCACTAATATTATGTGTGTGATTCACTTGCAATTGTGGTATAGGTTACCGTAATCGTTGTCTTCTTTCTTTTAAATATCCTCTATTCCTTTTGTCAAAGTGCACTCAGGCTGATTCACCTACTTTAGAACCACGCTTTGACAGAATAATTCTTCTTATCTCCTTTTCTTCTGTTAGTTTTAATCTAACATATTAAATGTTAGGCCTATCACTTCTACAGTAGTTAACTTCATGCCGAACTTTCCATGGCTGTAAGTTTATTCTCTTCTACTACTGTCTGTCTGCTATTTCAGCTCGTCTCGCACTGTTCATATATTTATCACTTAATCATCTGCCCACCTTCTAGAAATCTGTCACTGTATTGCATGCAATGTTCGATAGTCTCAACATCAATGACTTATAAACACAACTTCCCACAATCGTCTGCTTTTAACTGTTGTTATAACAAAAACAACACAATAAAATATTCACTTACAAAATAAATTTTTCAATAATATCTAAACTTAACAGTCTTATATCATGACATCTATACATGGCAAAATCTACTATAATTCCAAATTTAATAAGTGTATCTTCATAAAATTTGGCAAGTTTTTCATATAAACAAAACTTAAGGCCTTTAACATTTCATGAATGCTTTCATTTAATTTTATTTTTCTTTGAACCTTGTCTAATAACTAAACTAATGGTAACAAGGCAAATCACCCAGTGAGTGCTTAGCTTAAGTTTCAGTAAACAGTGTGAAACTGTGTAACTTGTAGCTCATGTACATATATATCACTGAGATATTTTTAACATTATTTTTCATTTGTTTTGTTTTCTTCTAATTTTTATATTTAAATTACTTTTATAACAATGAATTTGAAAATATACAAAAAAATTAGTGTTTTTCTGGTCTCTTGTTTGTTTGTTTGTTTTTTTTATCTTCCTCCCTCAAGGAAATTTATTTCTACTTTTTTGTAATGATAGCAGTAGTAGTACATAAAACATTTTCTTTTTAAATAGGGAGTTAATAACTTAAAAAATATATACAGTTCCATAACTCAATAATTTAGCTGGCTTTCTAATTAAGCTATAAGTGGACTAAAGTCATTCCCTCACCTAGTGAAGGTGATCTCAGCTATAGCAATGATGAATCTGTGCACTGAATAATTCAAAAATTTTTTGTTACAATGAGCTAGCCTAATATGGAAATCAGTAAATTAGTCTTGTCTTTTTATTAGTTATAAATAATCCTATAGCAAATGTTGGAAAATTATTGACACTTTTTTTTAAAAACAGTATGTTAGTAGGGCATGGAACATTGGTTTAACTTTCTGGTATATATTTCAGTAATGTGAAAAGATTGGATGATATATATTTGTATTATCTCTTAGCAATATCTGTTCCCAAGTGTATCATTTGCATCAAACTCAAAAGGCCATATAGGTTTAGTAAGATAATCTAAAGTAAAGAAGTGCCACAATACACAGAACTGATGATTGAGAACTTATTTAAATATTTACTTTTGAAATTAATGAATTATAACTTATCAAGAATTATGATAGTAGTTTATAATAGGAATAACAAGGAAAGGCACAAAACCCTAATTGAATATTCGAGCTAAAAGCACCTTAAACAGTAAAGATTTAGTTTAAATGACATTTAAAAACCTTTACTATTTACTGTTAAAAATGTACAAAAAAAAGCACCTTTGTTAGACTTGCAAAGAAAACATTGCTCAAAATTGCCTGTTTTTAATTCTTATCATTATTCTACAATGAAAACAGCTTGGTATATTGTTCCCAAACCTTTTGTAGAATACTAAATAAGGTACTGCGAAGGTCATAGGGATATTGAAAAGTTAATATTTCTTCAGTATTTTGCATAAGCTAAAAAAACCATCATAGTTCTTGTGTAACCAATGTTATCATTACCCCTTGAAGTTAGCTTTCTTACAAATATACGGTGTTCCTTTAAAAAAACTTAACTACAGGGTGAAACGGGATTTACCAACCAATAATAGATGCACGTTAGATTACTGTAACATGTAGATACTCAATGCTTTGTACACTATACAATCAGTATCTTTAAGGAGCCAACCCCTATATTATATAAGAAGACAAGGAATAGTAAAAAAAAATCGTTACAAATGTTAGATTTTATTACACACATTTGTAGAAAAATTACTCAAACAGACACGAAGGTTTATTTAAAGTAATGTTTTAGACGTATATGTTTTATTTAAAAAGGCTGCTTTTATACTGGTAAAATTTTATATGTGCTTAGGGGGGTTGTCTCAGTCTAGGGCCTCTAGGCATATATTTGCTCATTGCTATGCATTATATCTAGAAAATTTAATTTCTCAGAAACTGTAAGTGCTCACTATATTCTCAAACAAATCTCAATGACAATCTCCAGCTGCAGCTTAACATTTTACATTTTGAACTAATGCAATCGAATAGTCAATAAGTACAGTAACCAACTTCCAATCCTCTAGCACCTGCCCACTATTCAAGGACTTACAAGGTATGGTAGCAAGTGGCTCTCATATCCAATACTTAACCTCCTTTAAAACCTTTGGGAAGATAGCTGCCCTCATAGCATTATCATTTGTTAAATTTCCCAGTTCTTTCTTAATCTCAGAATTAATGTGATCATCTTGTTTCCATCTATCAACTGTTCATGATGAGGAATACTGCTTAAATCTTCATTAGTAAAGTCTGATTAAAAAGCAAATTTGATAACCCAGTCATCTCACAATCATCAGATATAAGCCTTCCTTTATCATCACTCAAAGGTCCTGCTTCCTTCTTAACATTTTGATTACTCTTAATATATTTAGAAAAATCCTTACTGTTAATTTTTAATTTTCAGCCTACTTGTATTCATACATCCTTTTTGATGTCCTAATTTCCTACTTGACCAACTTTCTTGATCTTCTATAATCTTTTAAATCTCCCATCATACCAGTCAATTTAAATTTATGATGCTTTGTTTAATTTTATCTCGTACTCTTTGTGAGCCAACCTGGTTTTTTTACTTGCAGCTACCCTTTTCTTTCTGTAAGGAACATGTTTACATTGAATATTTAAAAATTTTCCACATCCAATCAGCTGCCCAATTCACTGCCTATAATTTTGATTGCATCCCTTCAAACTTTACTTTTTGAAACTTGTAACCAAAATATCCTTAATCCTGATTTCCATATGCAGCAAAACATTGAACCTAATAGAGCAATGATTGCTTGCACCCAAATGTTCCTCATTTTCCACCCTCTCGATCATTTCTGTATTTGAAGTTAACAATAAATCTAAAATATCATTGTTTCTAGTAGGTTCCTTAACTAATTGGTGAAGAAAACCATCTTGAGCAGATTCCCAAACTTTTTTTTTCTTCGTAGTTTGACTCTAGCATTTCCCAACCTATATGCCTGAAATTAAAATCACCCATAATTATGACTTTATTAACAGCTGAAATATTATTGTACAGTACTCTATCCCTACTAAATAACCCATAACCCTGTAATTAAAATATTTCTGTCATCAAAATCATCGACTTTTAACCTTGTTTCAGTTATTCCCATTATAGCTAAATCCTTAATTCCTTCCAGTACTTTAAAATCATCTATTTTATTTCTTATACTTCTAGCATTACACTAGTTACAATTAAGCCTATCTTATAATTACTTCTATACTCATTTCCTATACTAAACTTTTCTCTGTTTCTTATTCTTTTTGCATTTAGTTTATCCTGTCCCTCACCACTGTCTAGTCCTAGTTTAAACTTCCCTTACAGCTGAGTTTATAGCCCTAGCAAACAAGCCAGCCCCTATCCTATTTAAATGTAAACCATCCATTCCAAAAAGCTCCCTTCTTCCATCAAGCTGTTTCCACAAGTCGAATCAGATAAACTGCTCATCCTTACATAATAACCAAAACCTAGCATTTGGCCCTAGTGACCTACTTATAACTTCATCCCCACATTTAATTCTGGGCAGTATCCTTGACACAATTAAATTATGGCCCATTTTCTTTATTAACCCTTTATACTTATTAATTAGCTCTTCTGACCTACCTTTTCCAACATCATTAGCCCCTATATGCACAAAAAAACTGAATTATTGCTAGCCCCCTTTATTATGTCTCTTGCTCTGTCAGTTTTTATTCTCCACCCATGCCCCTGAATAGCATAATTTAATTCTTTTCTCCCTATTTACTCCACAGACTATCCTATCCACATACATTGTCTAAGAATCACATATAACTACAACCTCCTCAACTTTATCATTCTCTGTCTCCCTTTTGTTTTCCTTTCCTCCAGTAGTTCATCTGCACAAACCAAGGGCTGAAATCTGTTGCTCAGTAGAACATGCTCATCACAATTAAATCAACTACTTTTATCCACAATAGTACTATTTCTAACTTCCCGAAAATCATTGTTAGCTGATGTATCCCTTACATGTACTAGCTAAAGTTCTTTTTGAAATCCTGCTACCATTTCCCACAGTTTACACTGCATTTTGTTTGTTACCTCTACTTTAATTTAGAAGAGCCTTCAACTTCTCAAACCTGTAAACTCTACAAACAAATTGCACATCTTCACTGCTAGCTTCCTTAAAAGTACATACAAATCCCAAGTTCTCAAATAAAACCCACTCATTGCAGCCATCACACCTAACGATATGTAATTATGTGAGTGTTGTCATAAAACTGTGCTAATTGAACAATTGTAGTCAAAGTTGCCATCTAGAAATGTACAAAAATAAAGCAAGAGATGACTTTTGACAAATTATAAGCAACAGTCATCAAAATGCACTCTAGCTGACTAAATTCATGAATACCATTTTCATCCAAAATTCAAAATACCTGCTTTACCCAAACCAACTTTTCAATGATGCCTATCAGTTTCAGTATCTTCTTTAGCAAGAAACCATTTTATTGGTACTGCTAACTAGCTACAACATTTGAAAGTTTTTTTTTTAATTAATCATTCATGTTTGAAACCTCTTTCTTTGCAGGTGGTTATGGATCTGGTGGTTTTAGAAGATTTTGAGTTCAGAAAACGGCACTGTACATAAAGGGTAAGGCTTTGTTTTGTGTGTTTGTGTATTCTCGTCTTTTTTTTTTTTTTAAGATTATTTGGAGTAGTTAGGTAATTATGGATCATATAGAATATTTTTATGTTAAGTACGATCTTCCATAGTTCAGTTATCTTATTGAATAAAGTATAAAATTAGCCAAAATATTGTTTCCTTTTGACAAAATGAGTTTAAATTGCACTGAAAATCAATGTTTCAAATATTTGGAAAGAAAATGGGTGTCTTGTAACACAGAATAGGTTTTTAAGTTGTTTGTTCTGGCATCAGAGAGAGAGAAAGAGGTTTGGTAAAGTATATTTTAAATCAGCTTGAGCTAATGTTTTTTACATTTTAATTTAGGGATGTATTAAGCAGCTACCAGAATGTAACCAGGGCAGGCAGGGTTCAGAGAAAGCTGTAGGTACCTTATGTTTGAGGCAGGAAGACTGCAGGTCAACTTGACAGGAAGGCATCAGCTAGGTCAACTAATCCTACAGTCAGCTTAATAGAAGAATTTCAGTTGTCAGATTGCCCCCCCTCATAGATTCTAGTCTGCTAGCTTACCTATCCCCCTAAATGTCTATTTTAATTTGTTTGCACAAATGTTATCAGTGGAGTGTAGGTTAGCCAGTGCTTTTTTATGTGTTGTCCATTTTTAACTTCTTATATTCTCGCCACATCATACCTATCTTTCCACAAGAGGTCATGAAAGTTTCTGGACTCTTCCTGTATTTGAGTGAATCATGAGTATTTTATATATTATATTGTTAATTCCAAATTTTGTCAGCGGCCAGATGCCAGCATTTGTAGTACATTCCGCTTTTGTGATAACCAGTTCACTCCGTGTTATAGTAATAAAGTAGTTTAGTCATACCAAAAGACTTGATATTCTCAGAGTTTTGTGGATTAGTGAATTTAAACCCAGTATTAAAGAAAGGACCCATAAAGTGTTTTAATAAACAAATAAATTCTTTATGCAAGAAGAAATATGTAGGCCAAAGTTTTGGAGAAATAGCTTTTTTTGAGACTATATTTTATTTTATATTATATGAATTTCATATACATGCTGATAGTGAAAGAAAAGATGTTAGGGCTCTACTATAAAACTATCAAAATATTTCTTTAGAAATGGGAAACCATAGTATCATGATCATCACACACACATACATGGTATTATCTTTACCTTGAAATATTGTTTAATATGGCAGAAACTTATCTTTCTGTTCATAGAAAGGTATTAATATCGTAACTTATTCATATCTCACATTTAAAAAATGCATTGAGACTAAGTTTTGTACATTAAAGTTGTCCTAAGCCAATTAAGTATGGCTTAATTTGTAATAAATTACAAAGTACAATTTATCAGGTAACTGGGAATTGTCCAGAAATTTATACAAGTTAGGATTACATTAAGATTAAAGAAATGTCATTCTTTTACCTTGTGAAGCAGTACAGACGAAAACTAATTTATATATTAATGTTGTCTACAATTAAATGTAAACAAATATTCAGGCTGTGAGGTTTTCAAAATGACATTATTTAATATGATGGATAAACTACAGACGAAAATTAATTTCTGTATTAATGTTCTCTACAATTAAATGTAAACAAGTATTCAAGCTATGAGGTTTTCAAAATGACAGTGTTTGATATGATAGATACACAACTGCATGTTAATAATCTATACGGTTGTGTGTAATAATCACGTAAAGTTTGGAAAAGCAACATTTACTCTCCAGATGATAATTAAAAAAAACATTTTCTGCCAATGTTTTGTCATTGAGGTTTCACCAGGGTTAATAGTACAGGACAGATTCAATAGTCAAGTATTAAACTTCTAACCACAACTGCAAGGTTTTTTTCTCGGATGTTTTTCATGGTTGTGATTGTAAATTCATTACACATTTATAGGACAGGTAAGAAATAGTAAGAATCTTTTTGAAAATGGGTGTTTGGGCTATTGACTACAAAAGTAATTTAGTATACTAAAAGACATTCATTCATAAGTGTGTTTGTTTTTACATAATGTTTATCTGAAGTCCTAAGTTTTTTACACAGAAACAACGTTGAGCACAAGAATGTTGTGCCCGACAAATTTTAATGAGAGTATCCTTACCAATTTGAAAGAAGTGTTGGTAATATTCATCGAAGTTTGTAAATATTTTTGTGACCAGAATGAACTAATTAACATTAATTTATAAATATCTATTGCTAACTCAATCTTTTTTGCGCAAGACTTTTTTTGAGAATTTTTCTACACTGCCAACAAAATAGCTTTTAGCCATTTTTTTATAGATTTAATTTCAAGTAATAACTTAAGAAGTACTAAAAGAAAGAGCAAACTATGTGTAGGAATTTATGAAAAAAGTTACTATTTCAGTTCTTGCATAGCAATTATTCTCAACATGTCAAGTAATCTTATGATGAGCTTTCACCATATAACTGAAATCATTTATTAGTTTAAAGTGTATAATGATAAATTGTGTTAATCAATGAAAGTGATGATATTATGATTATCTGAATATTAGAGAATTACTAGAACTTAAGAAGAAAAAAATTCTTTCTACAGAAAGGCAAAAAAGTTCTTCCAGCTTTCCACATAAAAATCTTACTTGCTAGATTTTAAGTAAAAAACAAACTACAAGTAATAACATGCATGCCATTTAGTTTTGAGTACACAGAAAAGTTATGATTAATATTGAAGTAATTACATGTACATGTAACTGTTGTCATGAGAAAATACACTCGTATAACAACAACAAAAAGTTACCGTCTTATAAATGCTGGAATACTTGTAGGTGTAATTAGGAAGTTTTAACCACAGTATTAATTGTTTTTCAAAAGTAGTTTGAGAATTGTAAATAATACCTTGCCAGTAAAACAATAAAAAAAGGAACTTACATTTTATCACAACGTAGTAATTGTTATTTAGATTAATATCAGGCATATCTTCACACAAATGCTCATTCAATTGGTCAGTGTTATGACTGCATCCTGATGTTCAACTCGTGTAATGAGAGAAATTAAGAAGTATGTGTAGGAAGATATTGAAGATCTGCCAGTGTTTTAAAGTGCTGAATTGCATTTGAGGTTAGTTTTAAATTATGGAGTCAGCTTGAAAGAAGAGGTCAGTATTATTCTTGATGCTTTTATTAGGCTTAACATTGAGTGGAAGTTAAGGCCATGCATGTGTTTTGGGTTAGAGTAACTGTTGAAGTACTTTCAGATTTTTCTCTTTCTCTATTTTGTGTTTGTTTATTCTTTTAACTCTAAGTTTGCGACTTAACCAGACTCAGATTAATGTTAATTCTGGAGCATTTATCATCTGGAAATTTACTAAAAACATGCTAGAACTTAGCAGAAGTCCTAATGTATAACTTGCGTGAATACAAAATGTCTGGCTTTTTTTTTTCATATATATTATATATATATTCTATATCTATATATATTAACCTATATCTAGACAAAAGTTAGTTTCTTTTATATGTGCTACTTCCTGTTATGGAAGCATTACAAGATGACCTTAAATTTCCAGTTAATTGCAACTATGAATTGCAATAAATGTCATCAGTGTGGATGAGATATTCATTGAAAGAAAATTATTAAGGTAAAAAAAAAGAGAATTTTCAGCAAAGAAAACTGCTGTCTCTTGGATTTTGATGGTGATTTGGTTATTCATGAAGGTAATCCATTTATAATAATCGTTTACATTTGTGCTGAAAAGTCTGCGTTCAAGTTTCCACAATAGTAGCAGTGAATTCTAATCATAATAGGTCAACTTTGACAACCAGTTTTGTAGTTGTATCACAATGGACACTATTGAACCCATTTCTAAATGATGCAATAATCAAGAGAAAAATTAGTACTACTCGACTTGATATGAAAATTTATTACATATTTAGGAATATGACCTGATTAAGTCATGAATTCAGTGTAAAACAGATAATTAGGTTTTGTTTCAAATCTTATTGGATCAGTGCCTGTACATTTATATCTTTAATTTTTGGGATATTTCAAAGCTCTGTTTTCTGTATCATTTGAGATGAGGTGTGAATTTGATAATTACTTAATACTGGAATCTGTATAATGGATGTGTATGTGTGAGATTGAATAATTATTCATAATTCTAAGAAATAATGAGCGATTCTCATAACATCGAGGTGGGTTATATGATTAGATGATGACATAAGAACTATCTTAATGGAATTTTATCTGAATGTGGCTTTTAGGTTATGCTATCCTTATTAAAATTAATTGTGCTGTTATGCCCATTGAAGTATAAAGTAAACCTTTTTAATTTTGTATTATGGAATGCTTAGGCACAGTTTTGTTAAATGCTTCAACAACTCTTCTTTTATATGCCATTTTATCTGAAATTTGCATGGAGAGTGCAATTTATCTACAAAAAAATGCAAATTTCTCAGTCAGTTACGTTGGAATTTGTTTGCTGTTCTTGTAAGTCATCCTTCCCAAATTTGTTATTGTATTTGTGTCATTAAACATTAATACTTTGGATGTTTGAGGTGTTGGTGGTATTAGTCGTATAATGAATCTGGTGTTGGGTTGAAAAAATTGTTTATTTTGGAAGTATTGTTAAAACAAATATGCATAGATACATACTATTAAAAAAATGAAAAGTTTGTTTTATATAGGTATTTCGTTCAGTTGTGTATCTTTGTATGATTCACTTAAAGTTTCTGACTCTTGATTTTATAATGAATAAGTTGTGTATGAATACATAGTATTATGTTTTGTAAAATATTTTTCTGTGGTAAAGATAAAAGGTTTTTTTTTCAGATACTAGTTTTTCTTTATAATATACTGTTTCAAAGGATAAAGTAATGAGAATCTAAATATTTTTTTATATACGTTATTTAAAATCATAAATAGTTTCATCATGCTCCTCTTAGCTTTTTTTTGTTACTGTTTTTATTATTTGATTTCCATCTCATGACATGTCTTCAGAGGTTTTAAGTTTTTCTGCACAAGACAAAAACTACATGAATATATAATATTTCATCTGTTTATAGTGTAATAAGCTGAAAAACTGACAGGAAATGTTTAGACTTAATTAAAACAGTGTAAGTTTAACAACAATTGTATATTTCAAAATAATAACTTGAACATAATACCTTAACTCCAAATTTTAAAATTATAACAAAGCTTCTTTATAAACAACATTTGCAGTTTGCTTTCCATCTAACAACAAATACAGATTTTGAGGTGATCCCACCCTTGAACACCCTACATCCAATTGGCCTTGAGAAAAGCATGGTTGTTTGGGAAATAATCCAGGAACTTTCACACTTTGACATTTAAGTCCATTATTACAAAATATACCTTTAAAGAACTAACTTCAGATGTATTGCCATATGACCAACAAGCTATGAAAAATCTCTACTTTGCTCTGTATCTTCAATACTACGATGGTAATAGAGTAGAGGTATGTCTAACTGCTAATATTCTTAGAGAACCTTTTGACTAGTTCCTTTCAAAGTACTCTGAATGAATATAGTTAAAACAAGTAATAAATATTTTCAATCCCTGATAGCTGCCATGCCCACCTTCAACAGATTTGTTTGAGCTTTGTCCGTTCCATGTAGACACTGCATACAGGTATATGTTAACAGTTAGAATGAGCACATTTTACAGTATAAAATAACGGTTATTTTGAAATTGGCACCAAGTCTTCATCACAGAGTACATGAAATTGCCTATAGTGTTCTTGGCTGCTTGATCAACTGTAGCACTTATGGTTGTTTCTTACCTAAATATGTTACAGTTAGAGATACAGTTTAAATTGTATTTAGGTCTTACTTTTATATATTAGTTAATTATGTTTTACATCTTTAAAAATTGATAATTAAATGATTTAAACATTTTTTTAA